AAGAAAATGGCGCAGACTTCATTCGAACCAAAAGAAGTCTACGTTTTTCTTTTGGTCAATTGTAAAACTAACCTGGGCGTTGATTAGTAGACTTCACAGTGGTGAAGAGAAGTCTATTTTCGCAGCCCAGAACTGAAAAACACTAAATCGACTGAAATTTTGATTTACCACTCGTCTTTAGCTTCTTTTCTGGTCGAGATCTTCGATTCTAGCCACCATGAAAGAAACACAATCGCAAAAAAACAACCAACTCGCCGGAATATAAAAATATCTATGAACTTCAACTTTTAAATAGTCAAATTATCCAAGCTCAAAAATGGGGTTTTGGTGCCATTAAAGCTCGAAATTGGTTGAAAATTGTGGTTGGGGGAATTGATGATGATGGTATTTACGTAAATAAGTAAGGAAGATGAGGATTATTTGGTCAATTGGATATCCAAAAATAAAAGAAATTAATTTGAAGTAATGCCAATTTCGTAAATAATTGTAACTAAGAATAATTGTTTAGACACAAAATATCTAATATTGAAAAGATGAATTTTGTGGATTAGATTTGCATTTCAATCTATTTTTGTAACTATCCCTACTTTCTATAGAATATTATATGCATAGTAATGACTAAAACAAGTGAGAATATTTGAAAATTCTCATCATGTGCACATGTTGATAGGTGACATCCTGTATATTTTCCTTTCATTTGTGTCCTAATAGTTATACAGATTATAGTACGTAATTATAGTTATGGTATACTATATTGTCGAATAGTCTTTGACTCATGTAGTAAATTGTATTCTTCATAGTTGTAGTATAATATGCTGCTAAATGTAAAATGTAACATAATATATATACTATACAACTAGGTAATAATCCGCACCCTGTACAGGATGAAAAAATTATTATTTATTTAAATTTACTATAATTTTAAAATCATAAAATATAATTATATTTATATGAATTTCATATAATAGTATATTATAACATTAACAGTATATTTTTATGAAATATAGAGTAATTTAATTATTATATAAATTAGTTTAAAAATAAAATATCATGCATGGCACATGATATAGCTGGATAGAAATATGAAGTCGCTATATAGATTTTCTATATTCCGTGATTGATTATATGATTCAGCATTTTCACTAATATTTAAGATTTAGATATATAATATTTATGTATATATTTAATTATTTTTGACTCTTAAAATAATAATTAAATATTGTTATTTAAATAGTTTGTTACTTATCTACTATATCAAATAAATTATAAAAAAAGACACAATTTTATATTTTTAATTTGAAAACAATAATTATATCTATAAATTATCTCTTTGTAAAAGAAAAGAATAATTATTGACTCCAAAAAACTTTAATCAAAAAATATTATCTAAAATATAATAATAAAACATAATTGGATATATGATATATAGAAAGTTGGGAGTATAGTGTATACATAATAAAATTTAAGATGTAATATGGTTAGAGTTTTGATGCATTTTTGCTATGATTGATTATATAAAAATAATGTGACAAATATTTTTTCTATAACTAGCTTCTATAAAAACATTGATGTATATCCATCTTATATATTATATTTACTCTAAATAAGTTTTAAACATTGATGACTTATTAGACAAAAGTGTCACTATCGTTTATACTCGAAATCTTTAAATATATATATCTAAATTAATAAAACAAATTTGAACTAATATATTACTTATATCTAAATTAGATTAGTGAATGCGATAATTTAGTTACTTATATTATTAACATATATCAAACATAATAAAATTTATTTTCATTAAAATTATTAATAAATTCTCATTTAGCTCATAATTATATTATATTATATATTAAATACTATTTATTGTATACTAAATTTTGGAAAGAGTCTAAATTATGAGCTAATTGAAATTTACTTTTGGAAAAAATCAATTAAATTGAATTATAATTATTTACTTTTATTTATAATGATTATAATGAACTCAAATTTCAATCAACTTTTATAATTAATGATCATAATCACTACAAAAAAACAGGTGTATTGTATCACTTATTATAAATATTTTTATTATTTATAATTGATACAAACAGGTTTTACATCACTTGTAAAACCAACTCTGAATGTGGTGATGAAAATAATTAACATCAGTTAGCTATCAATTGATGCAAATATATTTTATTTTTGCATCGATTGTTGAAATCGATGTCAATATGTGTCAATTACAAAAATTGATGTTATCATTTGCATCAATTTTTATTAATGATATTAGTATTTATGATGACTATTATAATGATATTAAAATTAGTTTAGGTTAATATTATGATTATATTCGTATGTTAAAAATAATTTATTTTTATTATTATTTTATAAATATTTATAATAATATTACTATTTTAATCTGAAATTTTATGCATCAATAATTTTTTGATGTTTCAAAAAATTTGAAATTAATTTTATTGGCTAGTAAATGTAAATATAAGGTACTTAAGTTTTGATATATATAGACATGTTTTCTCTTTCATTTTTTTATCAACTAGCAATGTGGGACAAAGTTCAAAAAGTTAGTTACATCAGTTTTAACTGATATAAAATTTATATCATTTTTTAAATGATGTTAACCAAAATTATTAATTACATCGATTATTTAACTGATTTAAATACATAATTTTATATCAAATTTATTTAAGTGATGTAAACTAACATAAATTTGTATCAGTTTTATTGAACTGAAGTTAAATAATTAATAAAAACATTAATTATGATAAATGATGTTAAATTATATATTTTGTATCATTTATTAATAAGTAATTTAAAATTTATATTATTTAGTTTTGTGATACAGTTTAAGTGATGTAATCAATCCTTTTTGTAGTGACTCAAATTATAATGATTTATGTTTATTTATTAATAATCTGAATAATTTATATTCAAGTTTTTAAATTCAAATTATAATACATATATAAAAAATCTATATATTTTTTATTATATGGATGATGTGATAATTTATTTACTTTACAAAAGTAAGTTTAAATGAAAATAAGAGAAAAAAAAGATTTTTGGTAGAAATGTAATTAAAAAAATAATTAATATGATATATTTTTGATAAGAAATAAAAGAAAGAGAATATATTAATAAATGAACTGCTGATTTATAAAATAAAACATAACATGTTAATGGACCTAAAATATACAATGACATATCATGTAATTAGTCTAGTAATCTAAGTCTTTTAAAAAAAATTAGCTGAGAATGAATGTGGGGTTTACACATCAGCATAATGACACCATTGTAAATACTTACAAAAATAAAGTTATTCTTTAAAAATGCTTCTCTTTTAATATATGGAGGATATGTATTTTTGGTAGTGATAAACTATATTTTATGCATAATAATCTATAATATAGTAGTGATAAACTATATTTTGTAGAAGCTCTCTTAACCCAATGATTTAATAAGAGTTTATTAATGCTTCTATACCAGGAAGTCTGGGTCTCAAATCCCAGCGAACGCGATTTATTATTAATTATGCACATTAATGAAGAATGATGCAAATTAATGGAGGCAAGCTTACAAGAGATCTTCAGCGTGGTGCAAGCAGAATCGTCAGGCGTAGATTTTCATATGATGATGGTAAGCGTGGTGCAGAGTGCATGTAGAGCCGTTAGTCATGGATCTTCATAAGACGGTAGATGTAACGGTTCTCATAATTTGTATAATTTGCAATAGATTAATAAATCAGTGTTAAAAAAAAAATCTATAATATAGTATGGATTAATATTGAAAATAGAATAAAAATGATGTTGAGATGAGTAATACAGTCACGTTGTCATTATATACAAATGATTATAGTATAGATTTTTAGCTTATTGAAAGCAAAACAGTACTTCCATATAGATATCTGATGCCAGAAATATCTTTCTTTTTAATTTCCCGTCTAAACGAAGAGAACAGTTTAAACATTGCACAATAGGTCATGATTATTTGGTTTATTATTCAAACATTGTGGTTTTATTCTTCATTATTATTTCCAATATAGTTATTAAGTAAAATAATCCTTAATTCTACTTTCTCCATTTTTTAGATAAGTAATGTTTTAGGGGAAAAAAATTAGGAACTGTTCATGCCATGAACGTTAATGTTATAGTATCAACTTTCTGTTTACGTATATTGGAAACTAGAACAAAAATGTTAAAAAGGAAAAAAAAAAAAAAAAAAGCGTAGCACAACAAAAAAAACTGCAGCACAAGTAACTGGATGACATGAATTTTAAGGTCGACGTTATTGACAATCAATTTTTTTGCGAAGACGAATTAGATAAGAATCTGCATCACCATCACCTAATAACAGCAACCTAAAGCAAAGTTTGCAAATAGTTCAACAAAACCTAATCCTACAACAAGTATAATATGCTCCATAAAGAGTACTGGTCAAAAAGTATTAATTGTTTTTTCTTAAACATCTCTGTAATGCATAATAATCTATAAACTGAAGATTGTTGTTTACTAAAATATAGGAGACGGCTTGCTCTATTGCCATAAAAAGCCGGATTTGAATATTAATTATTAGTTTATCTTTTCCACTTTTGCTCTACCGAATAAGTGTTTATATGTCAACAACCATGTACCTTTAAGCATTATAGACATATAAACACTTATTCGGTAGAGCAAAAGTGGAAAAGATAAACTAATAATTAATATTCAAATCCGGCTTTTTATGGCAATGGAGCAAGTCGTCTCCTATATTTTAGTAAACAACAATCTTCAATTTAAGATTATGAATAACTTTCGCATGAAACCCAAAAGAAAGGATAATACCAAAACCCATTCCATCCACCTCAACAACTCAATTACACCTAATGCATGTATATATATCTTACATGCAAGACTTAGGATTCATCACCATCATCATCTCTAGCTCTTCCTTTGAATATTTTCCAAACTCAGCTTCCAAGGGATAACCCTAATTTCTAGTCTTCTTCTAATTCTTTTTTATCTCCTATGGATATCGAAAAGGAGGGGAGCAGAAGAGAGGAGGAAGAACCCATTGTTCATAAACCAAAGCTAGACAAAGGCAAAGGCAAAGCTCATGTGTTTGCTCCTCCTATGAACTACAGTAGAATCATGGACAAACATAAACAAGAAAAGGTGACCATGGCCGGTTGGAAAAGAGGCGTAGCGATCTTCGATTTTGTTCTTAGACTCATTGCAGCCATCATGGCCATGGCCGCTGCAGCAAAGATGGCGACCACGGAAGAGACTCTTCCTTTCTTTACTCAGTTCTTGCAGTTCCAAGCTGACTACACTGATCTACCAACTTTTTCGTAAGTTTCTCCACAAATGTTAACTCTTACTATAAATTATGCCAAGAATTTGATAACCAACTATCGAAATGGTTCTATGACCATGATTCTCGATTATAAGTAACAAAACTCAAACTTAATTTATTTCGTTTTTTTTTGCAGATCTTTTGTTGTAGTAAATTCAATCGTTGGCGGATACCTAACACTCTCATTGCCTTTTTCCATTGTCTGTATCCTCCGGCCTCTCGCGGTTCCTCCTAGGCTCTTCCTTATCTTATGTGACACGGTAACATTTCTTATATGTTAGATTGCTGAATGTTTCAAACGTTGACATGTGATTTGTTATTTCCCAAAAAAATAACATTTCAAAAATATTTTTTTTTCTAAAAATAACATTTCAAAAAGATTTTTTTTTCTAAAAAAAATATGAAAACTCTCGTGAAATTGTGGTCAATTTCATTTAGAGAAAAGTACTTTATCATAAAGTGTAAACGTAAAACTAACGTTGAAAAACATCAAGGCATCAAAGCACTTTACCTCGGGTCCTCGAGTAATCCGTATTTTCTAAAAGCTTATATTAGACACTCGTTAGTGTATAGAATAGAATATGTGTATATACAAAGGCATCGAGATCAAAACGATGAATAGGTATGTTGATTACACATATGACAATTGACACATCCATATATTAATATTTATACGGATGTTGTGGTCCAGGCGATGATGGGCCTTACTATGATGGCGGCATCCGCTTCTGCAACCATAGTTTATTTGGCGCACAACGGGAATTCAAGCTCGAACTGGCTTCCGGTTTGCCAGCAGTTCGGTGACTTTTGCCAAGGAACTAGCGGTGCCGTGGTGGCTTCCTTTATTGCGGCGGCTCTTCTCATGATCCTGGTCATCCTCTCTGCATTTGCTCTCAAGAGATCGACTTAAATATTTTGTATTTGTTTCGATTAATTTCTTTGTGGTACTTTAAATTTCATTTGCGTGGATTTGAAAAGGGTAAGATGTATGATTTGGTTTTGTTGTGTTGTGTAACCCGGGTTGCATTGTGAATCATGTATATCAATCTTTGCATTTCAGCTTTTTTTTTTGTAAAATTGAATTTCAAAGAGATAACAAACTTCAACTTCTATTTGCCGGACCATATTGGAAAATCTTTCTTTTCAACATACATGTAATACTTTTGGCTTTACATCATTATTAAAGTTCTCTGGAGTTATCCTGTTACATGTTATGATAACCGTTCATAATTACATGTACTACATGGAATCACAGTTAATGAATAGCTCTATATCGACTGTACGTACAATGAACAACTTTTCCGCCAATGAACAGTTTACTTGTGTTGCGTTCATGATAAACACTTTTCGTTTAATACGTCCCATGACTAATAAATCAATTCCGTAACCTATAGAAAAGTTTGATTTATTTGCATTAAATATGAAAGAAGTTGTATTCTTTAGAAATCAAAAACAGTAAACCGTTAATCAAGTGACTTCCACATTTTTTAAGATACTTCTTATCATACTTTTTGGGAGTTAATTGTAACATACAAAACTTGTTTAGATTTGTTATGAAATACCAGGGAGTTAAACATTTCCCTTTTGTCAAACAAATTTCACATACCATAATCAAATCATGAAAACAATTGAAAAGCGAAACAAAAATGTTGTTGTCAACTAGTATTATAAAGTTGTGATCGGTCTGCACCGTGTGTAGGCTATAAAAATTTGATATATTCAATTATGATTAGTATAATATTAAAAATACCTTATTTGTATATGATTAATTATGTATTAATAATCAAAATTATAAATATTTAATAATAAAAAAATTAAATATAAAATATTATAGATTTCAAATGAAAATAAAGATAAAAAATATCAACTAAGATTTAACATATTTCCTTAGATAAAAAAATATGAATATGATAACTAAATAAACGGAAAAATATTAAAATATATAATAATTTATTTAATTTTTTATTTTTGGTCTGCACGCATGTGCAGTTATAATTTTTTTATAGACATAATTAGTTGTAATATTTAAGTATTGATTAATTTTCTTATACATTATGTAAACATTATGCTTTTATACATATACAGTTTTAGTGTTCAACAACTATTACACAAATGTTTCCTATCGTTTTGTGTCTTTCGAATTTTTATTATATTTTTCCTAGCGTTTACAATAACATATAATTACAAATGTAAAAGTTATATTAAATAATAATTGAATTCTTATAATATTTTTTGAATATTATATAACTATACTTTTTTCTCATTACACAATATAATCTTACCAATATATATAAAGTATTTGTTTCCTTGACCTATTGCTAATTAAACCAAAATAAATTTTACCATTTTACTTATCCTAAGAGCGGGTAGATGGTTGGCCCGCACATCCGTGCGCACCAACCACCTCACCGCTCTTAGGACATATAAAGATTTTTTTTTTAAAACATTAATTGTCTAACAACTAAAATTAAAATTAGAGTGTAATCGAGGTTAACAAAATACAAGCACGACAAATTTGCATGCAAGTTTGAATTTTGCACAATTAATATTTATATCTACATGTGTATTTGTAAGAAAATTGAAGTATGGCTTTTATGTGTTAAAAATAACAAAGTATATATTTTGTAATATATATTTTTATAACGTATGGTTGATTTAAAAAAAAATAATAAGTATATTTATGCATGTAGATATGAGTTAGAAATAAGTGAATTGTAATATTTAGGTGTTGGTATATTTTTCTGATATTTTCCGCAAACGTTATGTTTTTACACGATGCAGTTATAGCGTTTAACAATAATCACGAAAACTGTTTCTATCGTTTTAAATTCAATCTATTTTTTAGCGTTTTATGGTATATGGTTTCTCAATAAAAATATAATAAATATTTATTATAAATTTGTGAAATTATATTTTATAAAATTTTCCGGTAGCTCTCCGCTCATCTCTTCATCAAAATTTTTATAATCTGTAATCACTCGCTTCCACAAACTCTCTGTGACTGAATCGTTTAAGCCAATCAGATCTTAACTTATATATGTATGATTTAAGGTGTAAAATAATATATTTAATATTTGATTGTTAAATTAAAAATTAAAAATTAAGAGTTGATCTGTTCCTAGCTTTTATATATTTGTTAATATAAAATATAATGGATCACAACATATACAAAAATTGATTCATGAAATAATATTTTAATATTTTAGAAAAAAATATATGCATGAAAGAATTAATATGTGTAAGATAATATATTTAAATATTTTAAATAAAAACATAAAATCGATTAAAATTATTCTTATTTATTATTTTTGTCTTCTTTGACTCATACTTTTTTTTAACCTTTAATAATATATTTAACATTAAGATCATCTCAAATGTATTTTCTATTTTTTCCTCTAAAATATAAGTGGACTTCTCTCTAACATATTTCTATTTTACAGAAAAAGAAAGATTATTATTTTCCCCCTATAATTGAAAGAAAAAGTAACAACCTTTCTTTTTTCTCTAAATTAGAACATTTAAAATAAAGGTGGGTTGGAGATGCTTTAAATCAAAAATATAGCCTGAGATTTTTACATAAACTAAAGTCGTAAAGATTCATTTTTACTTTTAACTCTATTTTTATTCATATATACAGTATTATAATAAAATGGCTAAGATGATACTTATAATTTATTTTTTTATCTGTTTATTTTTTGTTTTATTTATAATTTCAAATTTTTGCTATATAACAGAATTCATTCATATATGATATAAACTCTTTTTTTTAAATGAGATTTATTTAGTTTTAACTTAACCAATCAAAATATTTTGTTTATTTTAGAAAATTTGTCATGTCATATTTATAAAGTGACATTGTTTTGCACTAATTTTTTTTTAGGTGTAAACATGCTTCTCAAATAATAGCAAGGATAGATTGACACTACTTGCTTGGTTTTAACAGGCATAAGGCGTAAGGCATAGCTCCTCATTATTGCGCTTTGCGTTGCGTCTGAACGTGCCTGAAGTGCATATTTTATATTCGCTGGAAAAAAGCTTTTCCTTTTTCGAACTATTTCATTTATTTAAACATGATCTAGGTTAGCAAAGCTAGATCACCAGGATTTAGGCAAAATGTGTCGATATCCTTGATGTACCAGCCAAGCCAGCTAGAACTGGGTCAAGCAGACAAGCTGGTGGATCATCCGATCTTGATGCTTTATGGATTTTAAGGAGAATAATAAGAACCAAAAGTACATATTGCATAACTTATAATGAAATAGCATAAGGGGAACCAATTCCAAAAAAATATAAAAAAACACATGATTCCAAAACCAAATAAAAATTAAAAATAGCAGAACACATAACGCAACTAAATCTGAAAGAAAAACAAATAGAAAATACTTTAAAGATAAGAGAATGTCAGAGATTCATAAGCTTAATAATTATCTTCTTTTCCAACATTCTCATCTTCATCCAAGTACTCATCTTGCTCGCCGAACTCATTGTCTCCTCCATACTCTTCATCTTTGATAAAAACCTTTTCTGCATCATCATCATCAACCAACGACATCATATGCTTACAACTAGTTGGAGTGGAGCCTGTTGAATTCTTGGCTCCCATAGCTTGGCTGACCTTATTCCATGTCAAGTTATCTTCTTTAAACACAAAACTTTCATTGTCATTAACGTCTCCATCCACTCTCAAGTAGCCACTCATTGTTATCATCAATTTCTTCTAAGAGAATATGATTAATGGTATCTTTTCTCTTATACCTCCTTTACAAAGTACGATTATACTTCACAAATACTAAGTCATTCAATCGACTTTGAAGTAATCGGTTTCTTTTCTTAGTATGAATCGGGTAACAAAAATTATAACTTAATTAGTTACATAATTTACAAAGACAAAACCCAGAAATTAATAAAATTTACTAACATATTGAAAAAGACTGCATTAGTTTCTTTCACAATCTGTAATATTACAAGTAAGGCTAAAAACAGTTATGGCAAAGTTCATGAGCTTTGGAGTTGCAGCTCCACAAGAAGATCACCAATCCGTTGGTGACTTTTTTGTTGTTGTTGTTGAATTGACATATTATTACCGAAGAAACCTGAAACATTTTTTAATGCTTCCAAGTCTCACATGATTACATCTTGAGAATCACTACTGAATGCAATCATACGATCCAGTCACAACTTCCTTACAACGAAGATGATCAAAATGTGTTTTCAGGTTCAAGAAATAACCAGCCGCATATAAAAGGTGATGAAGTTGACAACTCCATATTTCATCAATGAATTTAGAGGCTTTTTATAGTTATTATCTTGATAGGTGAAGCTCCGCACAATTACATCCTTTGACCCTATTCATTGCTGCATAAATGTAACTCATAGCTCGGTTTCTCTCATTAGTAAAGATCCTAAATACCTTCACCAGAAGCCTTGTCAACTTAAAAGCACACAAAACTTGCTTCCAGAAGCTATCTTGTATAATATACGTTTTGACATTTTTTCTTCATTCTTCATTTGGACACTTTGACTCATTACGTTTGTCAAAGTCACCATCTTCCTCAAATTATTTTTCTATTTGTAAAAATGCCCAACTGTAGTTAAAGATGTCGCAAATCTTGTAACACACGCCCTATGAAAATTTGGCTAAGAAAAGGAATGTGGCTATAATTTTTGTTATAATTAAAATTATAACATATGTTCACAAGAGGAATGTGGCTATAAATATAGCCATTCATAAATATGCATTTCAGTATACTTTTCACAGGTTTCAGTTTAATATCATCCAACATCAAATCAATGTAGTGAGTCGCATATGGAATCCAATAAAGATGTCTTCTTTCTTCCATTCTTCTTTATGTTCAACCAATTGACTATAAGTATCATCGGCTTTTTTAAGAAGAGGAACTTGTAGCTTATGTATAGTTGGTGACTTTAATCTCAGACCATATTGACCAATTAATTTAATCATCTCACTGAAACTTTCATAATTAAGAGTGTTGAATGTGAAGACCAGCACCATAGAATCACCTAGTTATATCCCTACAAGCTTTTTCTCTCGCCTTCTTTTCATAAACTCTGAAATTTCATTTTTTCCTTCCTTCCCTGCAAGACATCTATAGGAGAAGTTATGACATATCTGTCCGATGGATCTTTATGTTTCCATTGAGTAGTCACATCCCTTTGATTTGTCCTTGGCTCATAGTTGATCTCTTCCTATCCACCATATTCGTCAACTTCAACATCTATCGGATGCATTATCTGAATATTTCTTTTCGCTTCTTCTTTTTCAGCCATATATATCCTTATTTTCTTGTTTTACATGTTTGAGACAAAGCTTGCATGTAACAGCATTTCTATAATCGCCAGTAAAGTACTGTTATATACAGTAAATACTCATTTAGTCACAACGTAACAGTAGCTGGACTTCCAATTGTTAGCATTCTGTGGATTTTGAATTTCATATTTTCTTCTCTGTTCTTCTTTCTTCTCTGATATTCCAGACATAGTGATGAAATTGAAAGTAGAACTAGAGATACATGGATAGGAAATGTAGAAAGCAAATAAGGAATAGAGAAGACAAAATCGATAAATAGGGTTTAAAATAAAAAAAAATTTCCTTCATTAGAATTTAATTAATTTTGGAAGTTTTCTTATATTTTACTTTTTTTCAGAAATAAAAATTGTTAAAAGCTAAAAATACAAATATTTTTAAATCTACACAGTATCTAATAGTTATTTTTTTAAAGTGTTTTACACTTTTAAAAAGTATAACACAACATAGCATAAACGAATATTTTTATTTTAACTAGTAGATACGTCAAGAAATTGCACATCTTTTAAAACCAAGACTACTTAGTAAAACCTAAACTTTTTATTTCTTTGTCCATATATATACTTAAACCTTTTTTTTTAATGATATTACAATTTTAGGAAGAAAAAAGAATCTAAGATCTATTACGATAATTCAACTCCATTTTCCCATTGAGAACCCCAAAAAAACTCAATAGATCCGTAATAAAACTTCTGAAACAAACAAGTGGCAAAGCTACCTTTGCGTACGAGATTATATCCCGCACGAGAGAAACATCCGTAAATGATGCGGACACGTGTCAGCGCACTAGCGAAGGTGCGTCACTCAGTCCACGTCAGCACTCCGGCCGTCTCTCCCAACCCCAACGACGGTTAAAAAAAAAATCGTTTCCTCTCAATTTCTCAATCCCTCGAAAATATTTACCAATTCCTCAAGAATATATATCTGAGAGCGTCTTCTTCTCAAGAAACCCTAATCTTCGGTTCCGCTACATTCTTCGGAATCCTCCTACCTCGGATCTCGAATCTGTATTCTCAGCTGCTGAAATATCCGGTGAGTTTCATAGACTGAGAGGTCAACTTTAGGGTTTCGATTAACGCCGTTCTTATCGTCTTAGATATTTCTTTAGTTTCTCGATCCCAATCTTTGATTCATTTCCAGGTAAAAATTGTCAATTTGATTGGTTTTATAGCTTCTTCTTCCTCCTAATTCGTTTCCAAGAAAGAAAGATGGTAAAAAGAGGGAAAATTGAATTATTTGCGTTTCGGTATTGGTTTTCGAAGGGTCAAGTATATTTATCTTCTGCTTTCGTATTTTACAGTCGTTGCAGCTTTAAGCCAGTAAAGTTTGTATTTTTGAGAAATGTATCAGATCAATTTGATTGGTTTTCTGGTTTTATGTGTGGTCCTTGTATTCCGTTTCCAAGAAAAAAGATGGGGAAAGAAGAAAAATTGAGTTTAATTATGTGTCTGTATTGATTTCGAACGGTCATGTAGTTTTATCTTCTTCTTTCGTATTTAAGGGTCGTTGCAGCTTTGAGCTAGTAAAGTTTAAATTTTTGAGGAATGTTTCAGATCAAAAACTGTCAATTTGATTGGTTTTGGTTTCCAAGAAATGGGAAAAGAGGAAGCTTGTGTGCGTTTTGGTATTGATTTCGGAACGGTGAAGTCGTTATCCTTTTGTGGTTCTTCTTCTTCTTCTGATTTTCGTAATTAGGGGGACGATGTTGCAGCTTTAATTGTCTAAAAGTTGGGAATCTGATGATTGTTGCTAGGGGAATGCAGAGAACGTTTTGCTGCGAGTTGGAGAACGGCTGGAAGGAATCCCTCTGTCAAGGGATTGTCATCGTTGGCCCTAAAGCAAGAACCAGGGACAAACCTTGGGATAGCCTCTAACTTCGGTATCAGGAAGTACAACGAAACATGACTCGGATTCTGGTTCAACGTGGTTCAGCAGGAAGTTCTTCTAACCCTAGTCGTGCTTCTCCTTCGTCTGGCTCATCTTCTTCCTCAGGAACAGAGACACAGACAAGCAGTAGTAATATTCAGGTTCCTCCGGTAATTATTGACGAAGAAACTAATGATGGGAAACAAGAAGAGGTCACTGTGGTTGAACAAGCAGAGTGTTCTGAATCTGATGCTAAGGATGTATCACTGCTCAGTGATGAACCTGCGGATAGAGAAGACGATGACGAAGGGTTGATAGTTTCGGAAAATGCTGATGTTGAAAGTGAACGTATAGTTTGTGATTCTCCAGTTAGTGGTGGCGATGACCCTGATTCACCACCTTTACCTGTTCCCCCACCAAAGCCGTCTTCGAATGTTACTACTCCTGGTAATAAGAGATCGGTATTGGGAAGCTTTGGCGCTTTACGAATTGGAGCAACGAGAAGAGGAGCTGGGCCTCGTTCTCTTGTTTCCACTAGGAGTTCGCCAACTGGATCTCATCCTTCTTCTCCAAGATCACACAGTGAGAACGAAGGCTATAACAGTTCCGATGAGCATATTGTGCCTTCTCATGCTGGCCCTGGCTCGGTAAGTTATTTTCCAGGAATAATTTATGTTTGGCTTTATGGATTCCTAGCTTGTTTTACATGGCTCTTTGTTTCTATCTTACAGGAAAGAGAACATCAGTTTGAAACCGAGATCAGACAAGCGAAATGCTTTGTAATTAGGCGTATGTTGGAAGATGGAAACTGTCTCTTTCGAGCTGTTGCAGATCAAGTATATGGGGACTCAGATTCATATGACTTGACTAGGCAAATGTGCATGGATTACATGGTAAATTTTTTTTCGTTTACCGAGCTAAATGGTTTTTTAGTTTTTAGTTTTGATGGTAACAATTGGCAGAACTTACTGGTTTCACAATGGATGGTTTTAGGAACACGAGAGGGATCACTTTTCTCAGTTTATAACTGAAGGATTTACCTCTTACGTGAAGAGGAAAAGAAGAGATAAGGTGATTTCTGCTCTTATTCATGTCTTCTTCAGTTTTGTTAACTTTTGTTTCAAACACTTTGTTTTGACGCCTCTTTGATACATTGGTGATATAGGTCTATGGAAACAACGTGGAGATCCAAGCTTTAGCTGAAATGTATAATAGGCCTATCCACATTTACTCATATAGCACAGGTGCGACTCTTAGATCACCACTGAAAAGCTCTTCATGTTCTTTAATGTAACAAGAAATTTATGGAAACAAAAGAATATGTATTTTTTTTGTGTTACAGAGCCTATCAACATATTTCAAGGGAGCTACAACACCGATACACCTCCCATAAGGCTCAGCTTCCACCATGGGAATCATTATAATTCGTTGGTGGATCCACATCGGTTAACAGTTGGTGCAGGCCTTGGATTTAGTAGCCTTAGTGGGGTAAGCATAGTTTCTTCTCCTCTTTGTTCAATTGATTCAAATCTTTGTTTTCTTCTCATCATAATTCCTGTTTTTTAATCCAGAGACACGTGGACGGTGAGCAGGTGAAAGCAGCTATTAAGGCTCAGCAAGAACATCAGATTGATAAAGCAAGTAGCTCATATCAGTCCATAGTTCATCAAACTCTCTTGAGTGTATGATTGCTTATCATATGTATTTGTCTTTGTTTCCAGGCGCTGTTAGCAGAAGGAAGGTATTACTCTGATCTTGAACTTACGGAGAAGGAGATTGAGCTGTCAGTAATGGAAACTTCTCGTGCTGAGTATCTTATGGATTGGTCTAAGCCAAGGATTGGTCCCAAGGAATCATCCACTTCTAACGCTGAGACTTCCTCTTCTGGAGCTAGTGAGTATTTTCTTCTCTTCTGAATCCTCACTTAGAATACACTGAGAAGAAATATTTTTGAGATGAAAAGAAATCATTTTGTGAAGCAGGACCTTCAGGAAGTGATTCGAAACCGAAGGAGGCAGTAAAAGAGAAGACGGTGCTAAGCAGTAGTATTGAGATGGTTTTGTCGATGGGGTTTAGCTACACGCAGGCCATGGAAGCTTACAGCATATTTGGGGATGACGTGGACTCTATGGTCTGTTATGTATTGGAGACAAGCTGTCGCAGCAACAACAGACGCAAAGGCAAAGCCACGGAATAGAGAAATGTAAAACATGAGTTGCTTGCTCTGTTGTTAGTATATGAAACTATCACAATTCGTATTCCTCCTTACTAAGGAATTACCAACGTTTGGGCGATTAATATACGCTTTTATCATAATAATGAATAAACTTCTGCATCATGGCATGTATGTGTATCTTTATTGTCTCTGTATACTCTAGTTCTACTAGTTGAATAAGAGACTAATACATCATTTTCTATGAACAAGATGTCATAGTTTTAATCAATAAGTATATATGATTATGATATGATTAGCTCATAAATGAATAACATGCAAAAGATATAAACTCGATTTATATTCCATCTCCTTTTTTAGTTGACTTAGTGGATATTTAGGTGGCTTCTTGTGTATTCAGTATTTTTGTGAGATCTAACTCATTTACATATATTAGGTATGAACCTGCACTACGCTGCGGGATATTTTTTAAAAAATTATATATATATTTTTTTTAATATAATAAAGCTATTTTATAATATAAATGAATACTATATTTATTGTTTATTATCTTAAGTTATGTATTTTTATGTTTTAAATCTGAATATGCATTGTATATCTTTAATTTTATTATTTTTCAAAATTATAATATACTATAAATTTATTTAATTAATTAACTATAAATGTATATGTAAGAATAAATTAATATATTTTTAAGTCTATTTATGTTAATGACAAATATAATTTATTTTCTACACTAAATTGCAGCTTGATCCTTCTTTAAAATTCAACTTTAAAAAAAGATTTATTAAATGAAAAAAATAAAAAATTGTATTTTCTCGTTAAACAAAAAAAATATTTTCCAATAAATCACAGATTCCCATCAAAACTAAGAAATTTCAATTTCTTGTCAAAGCAAAAATTATGTTTTCCTATCAAAACTGAGAAATTACATTTTCCTGCGAAAAAATTGTGTTTCCTGCAAAAACCAAGAAATCCTATTATCCGTCAAATACAGAAATTTGCATTTTCCATCAAAACCGAGAAATCGCATTTTTCCGTCAAAATTGAAAAGCTGTATTTTTTATTGAAACCGAGAAATCACATTTTCTAGTCAGAACCAAGATATTTTATTTTCCCGTCAAAATCAAAATTTTTTGTTTTTCCACCAAAACCAAAAATCACATTTTCCCACCAAACCCGAGATCTCGCATATTCCCGTCATAACTGAGAAATTCTGTTTTTCCACCAAAACTGAAAATCATAGTTTTCTGCCAAAACCGAGAAAACCCCAATTCCCGCCAAAACCAAGAAATCTCATATTCTCGCCAAAACCGAGAAATTTTGTTTTCTCGTTGAACCGATAAATCTTGTTTTCATGACAAACTAAGAAATTGCAATTTTCTGCCAAAATCGTAAAATTGCATTTTTTCGCAAAAACTGTAAAACTGTATTTTCTTGCGAAAACCAAGAAATTGCATTATCCATCAAAAACAGAAAAATTACATTGCCCATCAAAACCGAGAATTCGCATTTCTTGTCAAAACTGAGATATTTTGTTTTCCCATCATATTATATTTATTTTATAGATGAGTATTATATTTGTTTTTTAGTTTAAGTTATGTATTTATATATTTTAAATCTGAATAAACATTGTATATCTTTAATTTTTTTTTATTTTTCAGAATTATAATTTACTATCCAATTTGTTTAGCTAACTAACTATAAATGTATATATAAGAATAAAACAATACATTTTTAAATACTTTCATGCTAATGGCAAATGTAATTTATTTTCTTCACTAAATTACCACTTGATCCTCTTTTGTAATTATATAAAGCAAAATGCCATTTTAAAACAAAATTATTAATTAATATGATTATTTTGAATTTTAAAATATATTTATAATTCTCATAATGTAGTATATACATACAAGATTAGAGAATGGATTCATGCACATTATCTTTTAATATTAACCGAACAGATGGTTAAAATCAATATTCTAGTTCTCATGTACAGTAATACATCATATATGAATAATGGATGGGAAGATGAGAGTGAACGAATTAAACATTAATGATATCGAATAGCTTGTATTATCAAAACAATAAAATGGGCTAAAAATATTTTTTTTTAACCCAGATGAATTGTAAACATTTTTTAGATAAGTTATGGGCTTACTTACAGATTTAAATCTTGGTTAGTTTTTTTAAATGAGCTGTATTAATAAAATATTCTTATTGGTTGATTTTTTTGTTGAGATATCATGTTGAGAAAGTCTGAAAAAGCTTAGGTGTCATCACCTGGAGAGACTTATGGGTTATTGTTGTGTTGATGTGTGTATCTATTAGATTTAAGTAATACCAAAAATAAAATAAAAGTTCGGCCTTAACAGCATTAAGAGCTCTTGTTCACCTGCTTATAGTGAGAACTATTAACATTCTAAGAACGTATATAAGTCTAAGTTCTAAAAAATTGTATGTGTATCTTTGTGATCACTGTACAATCTAGTTTTACTAGTAAATATTTTCTATGTACAAGATGTCATATAGTTATTATCAATAAATATATATGATTATGATATGATTAGCTCACAAATGAATACCATAGATAAATCTTACACAAGCATTTCATAATTGCAAACCAAGGGTTTGTTATCTTTAAACTTGATTAATATTCAAGTCCCTTTTTAGTTTTAGTTGACTTAGTGGATATTTATGTGGCTTCTTATGTATTCTTGTGAGACATAACCCCAATACATGTATCTAACAGATTTAAATAACTTTAAAAAAACAAAAATATTTTCAAACTTATCAATGTTGAAAGAAAAAGAAAAAGGAAAATGTGTTTTATTAAAATTTTGGCCTTAACAACATTAAGAGCTCATAGTATTGTTCACTTCTTATAGTGAAGAACTATTAACATTTTCGAAGAGTATTTGAGTTTATGTTCTAAAGATTGTATGTGTATCTCTGTGGTCTCTATACAATCTAGTTCTACTAGTTGATTAAGAGACTAAAAATCATTTTCTATGTACAAGATGTCGTCATAGTTCTGATCAATCAGTATATATGAATATGATTATGATATGATCATTAGATCATAAATGAATACCATAATTCTTACACAAGCTGTTCATATTTGCAAACCAAGGGGTTGTTATCTTTAAACTTGATTTATATTCAACTCCCTTTTTAGGTTTAGTTGACTTGGATATTTATGTGGCTTCTTGTGTATTCTTGTGAGACCTAACCCTAATACATGTATCTAACAGATTTAACTAACTTTCAAAAATAAAATAAAATATATACTTATCAACATTGAAAGACAGAAAAAAGAAAATGTGTTTTTTTTAAGTTTGGCCTTGACAGCATTAAGAACTCAAAGTCTTGTTCAGTTGCTTATAGTGAAGAACTATTAACATTCTTAGAGCGTATTTAACTCTAAGTTCTGAAGATTCTATGTGTATCTATGTGGACTCTGTACAATCTAGTTCTACAAGTTGAATAGGAGACTAATAATCATTTTCTATGTACAAGATGTCATAGTTCGGATCAATAAGTATATATGAATCTGATTATGATATGATTAGTTCTTAAATGAATACCAAAATTATTATACAAGCTGTTCGTATTTGCAAACCAAGGGTTTGTTATCTTTAAACTTGATTTATATTTAGCTCCATTTTTAGTTTTAGTTGACTTAGTGGATATTTATGTGGCTTCTTGTGTATTCTTGTAAAACTTAACCCCAATACATGTATCTAACAGATTAAACTAACTTCAAAAAAACAATTTGACTTTCACAGCATTAAGAGCTCAAACTCTTGTTCACTTGCTTATAGTGAAGAACTACTAACATTCTCGGAGTGTATTTAAGTCTAAGTTCTAAAGATTGTATACGTATCTCTGTGGTCTCTATACAATCTAGTTCTACTAGTTGAATAAGAGACCTATAATCCTTTTCTATGTAGAAGATGTCATAGTTCTGATCAATAAGTATACATGGATATGATTATGATATTATTAGCTCATAAATGAATACCATAACTCTTACACAAGCTGTTCATATTTGCAAACCAATTATCTTTATAAACTCGATTTATATTCAAATCCCTTTTTTGTTTTAGTTGACTTAGTGGATATTTATGTTGCTTCTTGTTTCTTTTTGTGAGACATATAACCTCAATACATATGTCTTATAGATTTAAGTAACTACAAAAATAAAATAAAAGTATGTGTTTAAACCTATCAATGTTCAAAGAAAAAGAAAAAGAAAAAGTGTGTTTTAAATTTTCGGCCGTTAGAGCTCAAAGTCTTGTTCACTCGCGTATAGTGAAGGAATATTACGACATTTCCGATGTGTATTTAAATCTAAATTCTAAAGAATTATATTCTCTTGGTAGCCTTTGTCTCCCAAAAATTGTTTAAATTGATCACCTGTGTTTTAAGGTATCTTCTAAATGTTTGTCTATTTAGTAATACTCCTAATTTAATTCTTTGTATTTGTAAGTGTTTTGTGGGATGAAAATGGGGATGTCTATTATACAGATAGAATGGGTAAATTTTGTCTCACAGATTTTCTGTGGGGATTTGAGTAGCATTCAGGCCGGTGAGGATACGTCCTTGGGCATAGGGGTGGGGAAACCAGAATTTGGGACAAAATTTTACAGAAACGGGAACGAGAAGGGAATTTGGAAATCAAAATAATTATCCTATGTGTTCCATTTAAAGTATGGAATGAGAGGGAACAGGATAGACATGACAAAACGGAACGAAACAAAAATTTCCACCCAAAAGTTAAAAACATGTTAGTAAAATCCAAAACATATTTGTCCACCATTCATTTCTTAATAACACATCATATATGTAAGTTGAGAAACAAATGGAAAAAAACTTCAAAAACATCAAAACTAAAGAAATACTAACCTAATTCATTATGATATAATTATACCTAATATTATATGTAGTTGATACATTATTTTTCCCAAATGGGACTGTATGAAACTTCCGTCTCCCCTCATACTATTCCCAAATGGGAATCAATAGCTTATACCATATAGGAACATATTATCATATGAAATGAGAAGTTAGGATTAGGAATTGGACGGAACAGAACGAGATGGGACGGGATATAAATTATGCCCATTCTTATTTGAGCCTGTCTGAGATATGCTCAAATGACTCCTCTGAGCTCATCCTTGGGGCCTACTCTTTCATCTTATGATTCTTTTTCTATTTATACATCTGTATCTTTGGTCGCTCCTTCCTA